AACCTCTCAGCCATGCCATTCTGCTGTGGGTTGTAGGGCACTGTCAGTTGATGCTGGATCCCCTTCCTCTTCAGCTCTCCTTCAAAATCAGCTCCAATGAACTCCCCACCATTGTCACTGCGGATCACCTTCACCTTGTGTCCGCACTCCCTCTGAGCTCTAGGCATCCACTCCTTAAGTACAGCCGCTGCCACCTCCCCCTTGCTCTTCAAAGGGTAAACCCACACTGCACGAGTGTGGTCATCCATTATTGTCAAGAAATAGTGGCTGCCTGATAGGGAAGGGGCTCTTGTGGGCCCCACCACATCCATGTGCACAAGTGCAAGTGGGGTCTTGGCTGGTCCTGTTGCACTGTTGAAGGGGAACTTGGAGAACTTGATCTCCAAGCATGTAGGGCAGTTCCCAATCTCCTTCATTCCCCCCTTGACCTCCAAGACTTTCAGGCTCCCATCCTTCACCAACTTCTGTAGCATAGGGAAATTCACATGACACAGCCTCTCATGCCATGTCTCCCAATCGGCCTCACCACTCCTTGATGAAGCCTTAGCCCATGCTGCATTTGCATCCACACCAGCAAGCACCTCACCATGTGTCTGCTGCTGCTGCACTTTCTTAACTGCTTCCAGGACCCCAATCAGTTGGTGCAATTGCATCTCCTCCTTCTGTTGCCTTTGCCACTGCTGCCGTTGCTGCTATTGGAGTCTTCCCATTCCAAGGGATGATGGGCAGCTGCCACAGGTCCTTGATGCAGCTGGTCTCTTCTTCCAGACTCCACTGAACCTTCTTCCCAAGCTTAGCATGGCAGCTGGTTGGTCCAAGTGTAGTTCGGCCTTGCTCTTCTGCAGTCGCCGCACAGAAAGAAGGTTAGCAGACAAACCTTCAACCAGCATAACATTCCCAAGCCTCACAAGCTCACCATTAGCTCCCTTAGCCTTGGCATTCCCAACACCAATCACAGGGAGCAAAGCACCTGACGCTGCTTCCACATACTTAATCTTCCCAGGGGGTTTTACCTTATCAAGCAAATCTGCCCGTGGGGTCATGTGACTAGTGCAACCTGAATCAATCACCCAGTACGTGAAAGGGTGCATCACAACTTTTCCCACAAATCCCATATCACCCTCATGCCCATGCACATCCTCAACCATGAGAAACATCCCAGGAGAGGCATTACTTTGTGCACCTTCACCTTGTGCACCTGAGCCTTGCACAGTGCCACCTTGTGCGCATTCACCACTGGACGGCTTCATGCCTGGAGGTGCCCATCTCTCTGACCTGCTGAAGCACTTGAACCAAGGATGCCCAACCTTCTTGCAGTACCAGCAGGTGCCCTCCATTCTAGTACTCCCCATGCCACCAGAGCTCCCATGCCCCTCATTATAGTCACCTCGGCCTCTACCTCTGCCAAAGCTCCTCCCACGGCCTCGGCCTCTCCAACCCCCTCTTCCTCTGCCGCGCCCTGCAGCTCCATACCCCTCAACAGTCTTAGTGGAAGCTCCATTGATCTTGCTAAGAGTTGAGGGTGGGCATGAGGTTTTCCCAAGAGTTGTCCAACACCGAGATGATCTAGGTGCACTGCTGCAGCTGAGAAACGCTGCTGCCCACTGCTGCCATCCTTGCATATGTATCATTGATCCTGACAAGGACCGGCTTCACATCGTTCCCCGGTCACATGGAGATGGCAGCAAGTTCCTTCTCGAGCATGATCACCATCGGGAGAGTGTTGGGCTGAATCACAATGCGTATTAGTTTCCACGCCCTTGGACCCGAATCATCCGCTTCCACAAGATCCTTGATGTGCTCGAACATCTCATTGTTGACCGATTGAAGGATGAGGTCGAAAAGCACCGCGTTTTTCTCATTCTACCATTAATGTACTTCGTCTTCTTCCGGCATCTTCTCCTCCCCAACAGCAATCCTCAGTAGCTTGTAGCGTTTGAAGGCACTCATCATCCGCTTGCTCCATTCCTCATAGTTGGAGCCATCCAAAGCTTCAACTTTGGATGGTGGTGGCTCACTTGTCTTCTCAGCTACAGCTCCTATTCCATTAGCATCACATCCTCTTTCATTCATCTTCTCCTCGAGAAATAATGAAAGTCAGCTCCCCTTTGCTGTCCATACTCAGCTCCCTCAATATTTTCACAAGTGTCGGCGTCCACGAAATTTCGGCAGAGTTTCCCCTTAGCGGAAGTCACATCCAACCTCTAGAATACCACTCAGGCACTCCCACAGTCCATGGTGGGTCTAAAAGGGTCTTCACACTTCTGTAAACTCCTCTCAATATCCTCAAAATGGCTCTGATACCACTTGTTAGGATTAAGGACGAAGTCTAGGTGACCTTGGGAGCTAGAATTACTCAAAATACAAATCCGATTTTTTTGACAGAAAAGTCGTGCCCACACGAAACGTTGTCGACAAAAACGTAGCCATTGGAATGTCGCGAGACTCGTATATGTTGTAGCTCTTACTTTCAACTACCATTTCCAGTTTGAATCATGTTTATTGATGGAGTATTCGCGACACTATGAATTTCGACGCACAGGGGGGTATGCTTTAGGATAAGAACTTAACTCAATCTCAAACTTCAATCAAGGTTCAAGAAAATCAAAAGGAATCAGAGCAGCAAGAGAATGTTGGAAGGGAAGAGAAGGATGAGAGGGAAGGTCCCAAGAGAGTCCCCAACCAAAGAAACCCCATAAGCACAAAGTTCCCTCCCTATAGGAACCCCAACTTTGACATTTGTCCCTTCCCAATCAATCCATCCAAGTTGGCCACCCTTGCCAACCTAGTTTGGTTGTTCCCAACCAATTTGCAGCTGCTACAGTGACGAAATTTCCCAATCCCCAATGTCCCAACTCCATATTGAGTCACCCCACAATTTTTCTTCGAAACCGCCGCAATTGTAACGCAAGCCCATGAACTTTGAATCTTTATAACTTTCACATTCTTGCTCCGATTGAAACGATTATTGCGTTGGAAATATCTTCTCAAGATCTATCATAAAAAATACCTGCTCAAACAGAATAATACAAAACACATTCCCAAACTCCATAAGACACCACACATAAATGCTTGCACGCATTCACACCAAACATGCAGGTTTAAAACATGGGATGGGAGGCAGATAGAATGTGATAGCATATGATGACATCACACTAACAGACCACACGCCCGTTGACAAAGTCGCGCTGGTCACCGCCGCCCCCGCGTTGACTGCGCAGCAGTTATAGGCAATGCTGGCGAAGTTACACCAGCAGCAGCCTGTTATGATCGGCACATCATCTGATAATATGACTGCTACTTCAAATTTTGTGAAGAAAAAAGAAATGGCAACGCCTCCTCGCACCGACAACCAGCCTCCGGCACCAACCCCCGCGCCTGCCAACGACACCGGCGACAGCGACAATTCTGACAACGAAGATGGTGAGGCCCCCACCAATATTACTCGCCACCGCACCCTTGCTCCCGCTCCCCCTCTCCCCCCCCTTGCTCCCACGCCCGCAGCAACTACCTTCATGCGCAAGGGCGTGCGCAACCAGGCTGAAGTCTTCACCGCCATCCAAGCGCACCTGCAACATATCGACTTCGAGCTGCAGCACGGCAATGTCATCACCGCACTCAACTATGTGAAGCACATCAAAATGCTTATTAGTAAGCGCTTTGAGGTGCTGCTCGTGGCGGACGAGGCCGGTTCGAGGCCGCGGATCGCTTCCAGCTCTACCAGTCAATGTGCGTGCTGACGTCCCGCTCCTACAAGCTTTCCGTTACCGACGTGGCCGCACTCAAGTGCGCACGCTCCGCCTACCCCCGCAGTGGTCGCCTCGGTGGCCGCAACGACGACATGGACCTCAAGGGCTCGCCTCCCCACACGTGCCAGCAGCCACGCTTCAAGGGAGTGTGCTTCCGCTGTGGCTAGCCAGGTCACATGGGCAACGCGTGCCCTATGGGCGGGCATGGGGCACAAGGCCCCTCACCGATGGTGTGAGCGGGGTGCAAGGGAGGTGCCCTTCGCCAATATGCAAGAAGCATATTGGGCTGCACTAGGGGTGCATGGTGTTGATAGGATCGGCCTACTTTGCACGAATTAAGCAGAACCTCAACTTAACCAAACGCCAATCTGCTCGGTGGAAGGGCGCGCCTATAAGTCTAGAGTCACCTGAAATTTAAATCAGGTGAAAAGATTAACTCTAGAGTGAGAACTGAATCAAAACGTAACTGCTGGTCGTTGCCTTAGAAAGTAGATAGAACTTGCAAGACACACAACCATATAGACATGGTTCGGGGTTCAGACCTCTAAGAGGGCCCTGGAAGGGAAACAATGTTTCCTGATGTCTAGGAATGGTTTAGAACCTTCCTAGAAGCACACCATAGGCCCCTCTCCAAGTTGCCCATGTGAGGACACATGCCAATCCAAAGAGATTGGATTTGGCAAGATGTTGCAACATTTGCAACACTTGCACATTTTGGCTTGTAGCAACCAAGCCACCCCAACCAAAAGTCAAAGTTTTCTTCCCAACCATCTAACCACAAGATCCCCATTATAAGAAGACCCATGAGATACCCGAGGTATAGCATTTGTCATTAGAACTTCCAATCTTGGAATTCTTGTAACTTCGGCATCATCGGTCGGATTGGGGCGATCTTGGGGTCGTTGGAATGCTCACGCTTTCTCCTGCATTTTCCATGCATTCAATCTTGGGAGAAAATCATGATGATGAGAATATCCAAGATGGCGAGCAATGTGATATATGCTCATGCACACATGCATGCACGAATGAGACGATCATACGGCAGGACATTAGGATGATATGCACTCATGATGATGTGCAATTAACACATGGCTGGTGGCCGGCCTTAGGACAAGGCAAATAGCCTAGTAGAATAGGGTAGCCCTAGGAGCAGAGAAGGCCTTGGGCCTAGAACCTTGTGTTATTCCATGTATGGAACATGGATGTCGTTATGGCACATTGAACTAAGATTGCAAAACAAAAACTAAAAAAAAAAACTCTTGCAAGGCCACGATGAAAGAGGAGAGAGAGAGATTGAGAGAGAGAGAGAGAGAGAGAGAGAGAGAGAGAGAGAGAGAGAGAGAGAGAGAGAGAGAGAGAGAGAGAGAGAGATAGAGAGAGAGAGAGAGAGAGAGAGAGAGAGAGAGAGAGAGAGAGAGAGAGAGAGAGAGAGAGAGAGAGGTGACGAAGGCTCGAGGGCTAAAGGGAGAAGGCATGAATATGAGCCATGCCTCTTTGCAATTGAATATGAGCCACTCACTCTTTGCCAACCGGATGGGAGCTATGCCCCCCCTTTCGACTATGACACATCCACCCTTGAGGCAAATTGTCCGGTCCCGCTCACTTGGGTACCCATGTCATTCTTGCGACCCGACCCTTTGGTCCAGCAGAAATTGGAGAAGGATGGTTACACAACGAACATAACCTCTATGAGTAGGCCGTTACGGACAAGGACGTGACTATCATGCATACTCAATTGCGTCACGCCCTACTCTGGTGGTGCTCATGGTGCGATAGCAGCTTCATCCTATCCATCATCGCGAAAGGGTATTGGTTTCCCTGGAAGGAAGTCGTGCCACACACCTTTGAGGATAGCAATCATGCTGGAGTTTGCACACACTTGGACTTCACTTGTGGTGCGATTCGTGACCTCGTCACCTTGGGTGCCGCCGCCATGGTCCTTACGAAGGACGCGCTCACATGTGTCAGTCCACTTAACGTGGTGGAGCAGCGCGACAAGTGTCGCCTCATTCTCGACTTGCGCAAACTCAGCACCTAGCTCGACATCCCCAAGTTCAAGTACGAATGCTTGAACAGGATTGCCGAACTCATCCGCCCGGGCGATTGGATGTTCTCAATTGACCTAAAGTCAGGCTACCACCATGTCGAGATCCACCCCTCTTGCTGGAAGTTCTTTGGATTCCAGTTTGAAGGAGACTACTATTCCTTCAGATCGCTCCCATTTGGGCTTGCCACTGCCCGGTGCGTCTTCACACAACTGATCAAACAACTGGCAAAGCGATGGCAGGCAAGCGGCGTACGGGTTGTTCCATATGTCGACGACTTACTATTCCTCTGCAACTCCCACTCGCGTGCACGCTCGACCTGCGCAGCAGTCGTGCAGGACCTGAAGGCAGCACACTTTGTTATAAAAGGCAAGAAGTCACATCTTTCCCCTCACGCTAGATAGCTTTCCTCGGCTTGGAGATTGACGCCGCCCATGGCACCTTCTCCATCGGACTCGAACGTCGAGCACAACTCTTTGCCACACTCCAAGCCCTCATCACCCTGGGGCAAGAGGGAAGACCGGTTCCTATCCAGTCCCTTGCAAGAATCACGGGAATGCTGGCCTCCATGAATCCGGCGTTGGGCGCTACGGCACGTGCCTTTAGTCACACAGCTGGGGCGCCACCCTGATGCAACTTCCCGGAACGTCCATTGAAGCTAGTGCTGGCATGCGCGAGGAACCACTGACCACCTCCAGCACTCGACAGGAACTCAAAGGAGTCTTATGGGCACTCCAAACTTTTGCCGCCTACATACCCAAGAACCACGTGCTCGTTCGGGTGGACAATCAAGGGGTATTCATTCTGTGCAAAGGTGGATCGCGCCACCCTACACTCACACTTCTATGTCAAGCAATCATTTGCCTATGCCTGGAACATCAGACAAGGCTAGCTGTCGAATGGATCCTGCGAGAGCTGAATGCGCATGCCGACGAACTTAAAAAATCCAAGACCACGATGATTACTCTCCCCAAGCCCCATGGTTCCGGCTCTTGGATCGCCGCCTGGGCCCTCACTCTATCGATCTCTTCGCAAATGTGCACAACGCTCAGCTGAAGAGGTTTTGCTCCAGGATTCCACACCATATGGCCGCAGTGTTCGACACGTTTTCGTTCAGCAGGCAACACGAACGCGGCTTCGCGCACGCTCGATGCCAGCGCACACGACGCCAGCGCGCATGGCGCCAGCGCACAACGCGCCAGCTTGCACGACACCAGCATGCACTGTGCCAGTGTGCACGGCGCCAGCGCGCAACGCGACAGCGTGCACGGCGCCAGTGCGCAACGAAGCCAGCGCGCATGGCACCAGCGCTCTATGCCAGCACGCGGAGCATCAGCACGAATGCAGGCTTACATGAACATACAATTAGGCAGTAGTAGTCTAGCTTTGTTAGGTACGAGAAAGAACCTTGGAATTGCCAAGCACTCAAAGCAAGAGCCAGGGTGACATGAGCAAACCCTCGTAGTTGTGCGTTCTCACCCACAGAATGCTAACCCACTAGAGGTCAGCACCGATAATGACCTGTCACATCAATACCGATAATGACCTGTCACATCAATCCTGATAATGACCTGTCACATCAATATCGGAGCGTGGAAGTGTAACATAAGCAAAATCAACAAACGAGCATTATTGCTGTACCTAACCCCCATGCCCTGCAGCAGCGGTGGCTTCGTCAGCCCCGTCGACCTCTCGACATGCGAGGTGGCGACGTCAGAGGCGGGGGCAGTGGTGGCGTCGACGGCGGCGGCGGCGGCGTCAACGACGGTACGATGACAGCGGCGGCTGCGATGGCGGGTGGCGGCAGTGCCAGCAGCACCTGCGGCATTGGCGGCGGCTTTGACGGCGGCGACGAAGACCGCGGCACCCAGTGATGTGGCCCGGCTCAGCAACGGCGGGGCCGCATGGGGCGAGACAGCCATCGACTGCGGCGGGGAGATAGGGAAATGCAGAGGAGGGGGGGCGAAGCTGATGCACGGCGCCATGGCGGCACGGCGCTAGCTGGCGTGCGGGCGAGCTGGCCGGTGCTAAAACATTGCGCGGCCCGCTGCCGCCCGTCGACGATGCCACGGCAGCTCAACGACGCCGCCACAGCGCAGCGTCGCTGCCGCGGCAGCACGTCGACGCTGCCACAGCGTGGCGTTGCTGCCGCGGCAGCACTTCGACGCTGCTATGGCAGCACGACGAATCCGCCATGGCAGCACGACGAAGCCGCCATGGCAGCACGTCCTGGCTGCCACGGCGGCGCGGAAGTGAGGAGAGGAGGGAGAGAATGCTGCGGAAGAGTGATGAGCAGGCCTGAGCAGAAGGACCTGCTCTGAAACCATGTTGAGATAGCTAGGAACTAGGAGCTAGGCATAGGAATGTAGCGTGAGGTTTTAGGCTAGGAGGAAAAATATCGACAGAGAAGAGAATGAGATTAGAAGAGAGAGGGATACAAGGAGGGAGTTGTACCCTCTACAGTAGGTTCCAGTAACACCTACCAAACCTACAATTATATACATATAATATATAATTTAACACACCCCCTAGGCTTGGTAGCCGAAAGCACACCACACATGCAGCACCCCCAATACCCTTGCACCCTCATGCCCTGCAGCAGCGGTGGCTTCATCAGCACCGGTCGACCTCACGACATGCAAGGCTGCGACGTCAGCGGCGGCGGCAGGGTCGACGGTGGTACGACGACAGCGGCGGCTGCGACGGCGAATGGCAGCGGAGCCAGCGGCACCTGCGGCATCGGCGGCGGCTTCGGGGGTGGGGGGGGGGGGGGGGGGGCGAAGCTGCAGCGAGGCGCCAGGGAGCATGCCACCCCGTGTGGCGCGCTGGCTGCATGCGGGCGTGCTGGCAAGCGCTAAGACCGGGCGCTGACCGCTGCCGTCCATGCGCTAGCGCGTCGACGCCGCCACGGCAGCACGACATGGCCGTGGTGGTGGCGCGGAAAGAACAGGAGGGAGGAGCGAGTGTTGCAGAAGCGTGATGTACAGCCTCGAGCAGAAGGACCCATTCTGGTACCATGTTAAGATAGCTAGGTAAGGAGAGGAGCCATGGCTATGGAGAGAGGGTTTTAGGCTAGGAGAAAGTTGACGAGAGGAAAGAGGGTTGGACTAGAAGAGAACGAGATACAAGAAGGGGGGGTTGTCCCCACTACAGTAGGATTTAGGAATGTAGCAAACCTACCAAGCCTAAACAACTATATATATACTGAGAAAGCTTGCTTTCTTGTCCTTTGCGATAGGCATCGTTCTCATTTCAAGTGGGCTAGGTACAACAAGCTCTTACTAGCTTATACGGATCTAAACATACATACATCATCATCCTAGTTGTGCGCTCCCGTTCAAGTGATCGGCTGGCAATTGGAGATGCACGGTTGTCTAGGGGGGGTGGGTGGGAAATTTGACTGAGCCGTTTGAAAAATGAGAGACGTGGGTGGAGGTAAATGAGCTCCAACCCACGTATTTGTAGTTGGAGAAGGGCGAGTAGCGCGCTTCGACGATGCCCAAAACTTCAGTACAATCAGCTTCGCTTTCACAATACACAATTTTTGAAAAACACTGCATGTGTGTTAAAAAAATATAATATTGAGAAAGCTTGCTTTCTTGTCCTTTGCGATAGGCATCGTTCTCATTTCAAGTGGGGTCGTCGAGACATGTGCAGTGGGGGCTTGCGGTGGTGGAGAAGTGCCTCGGCGTGTTGTGCAGAGGAGGGTGCCGCCGCCAGGTCTTGCAGGCGACGAGATGCGCCAACCAGATGATCAGTCGCGGGCGTGACGTACATCTCTTTCACGGTTTCACTGCGCCAACGGCCCAGGCGTTTGAAGATCCTGTCAGGTACCCCAGAGTTGGCGTCAACCGTGGCCGTGCCTTTCCGAAAGGAGTGGGTGCCTAGGTGCTCTTCTCCCAAACCGATTTTCACGAAGGCTTCCTTGCACCAGTTGCGGATTGTGGTGTATGAGGGCGGTCTGGCTGTGCCGTGGCTCGGTAGGTGGGGTCCGAAGACCCGGATGAGCGGTCCCGAGGACTGGGGGTTGTATCCTGCGAGTTGGATGAGCCTCTGGGTGCCCTGGACCGGACAAAAGGGTCTGAGGCTTGCCGCGATAGGGGTCCATGTGCCTTGGCTGGCTTGGTCGGTTTTTGAGTGGGGGATGAGTAGCCACATAGCTTCATCTTCAAATTGGATGTCCTGCCATTCGATGGCCACCAGGACCGAGTAGCGCAAAAAATCGGCGTACATGAGAATCGGGATCAATCCTTTTTTGAACATGGCGGGGTTGTTTGACTGTAGGAAGGAGGCCGCCATATCGTGGACATGATGGAATGAGACTGGCTCTTAAATATTGTTAGGACGCGAGCAGTTTCGCTTCGCGAAGTCGCGCACTTGGGAGGTGAAAGGGCCAGTGGTTGAGCATGTTCAGCCTGTCATCCTGAGGGCAAAGCTCACAGTGGAGCATGTGAGCTGAACCACCGACCAGGAGGCCTTGCGTTGGGTGAGATACACCAGGTAGAGCGCGAGGGTCATGTCCGATGCCGGCAAGAATGTCAGGTTGACCTTCGTGCAGAAGGCGCGGAACTTCACCCCGTAAGGCTCGTATGTTCGGATGGTTGAGTCGGCACGAGAGCGGGCGAGCATGGAAAGCGGGTCGTTTTGGAGCTTTGGAAGCAGATCTGGGGACATGCTGAGGATTCTGGTTAGTCAAATATCATGCGGAGTGCGACGATAGTGCTGTTGGGTAATCCTGTGCCTGAGAATGCTTGACGGTGGGTGCCAACTGTAAGACACTGGCTGCCATGTTCAGCGTGGCACCCCAGTGTTAGGATTAAGGACGGAGTCTAGGTGAACTTAGGAGCTAGAATTACTCAAAATATAAATCCGAAATTCTGGACAGAAAAGTCGTCTTTACAAGAAACGACGTCGACGAAAAACTAGCCGTTGGAATGTCGCGAAACTTGGATATGTTGTAGCTCTTAATCTCAGCTACCGTTCCCAATTTGAATCACGTTGATTGATGAAGTATTCGCGACGCTATGGCTTTCGACGCACTAGGGGGTAAGCTGTAGGAGGAGAACTTAACTCAATCTCAAGAGTTCAATCAAAGTTCAAGAATCTCACAAGGAATTAGAAGGAGCAAGAGAAAGGTTGGGATAGGAAGAGAGGGATGAGAGGGAAGGTCCCAAGAGAGTCCCCAACCAAGGAAAACCCCATAAGCACAAAGATTCCCTCCCTATAGGAACCCCAACTTTGACATTTGTCCCTTCCCAACCAATCCATCCAAGTTGGCCACCCTTGCCAACCTAGCTTGGTTGTTCCCAACCAATTTGCAGCTGTTACAGTAGAGTGACAAGTTTCCCCAACCCCAAAGGTCCCAACTCCATATAAAGTCACCCCACAACTTCACTTAGTAACCGCCGCAATTGTAACGCAAGCTCATGAACTTTGAATCTTCATAGCTTTCGCGTTCTTGCTCCGATTGAAGCGATTCTTGTTGCGTCGGAAAGATCTTCTCAAGATCTATTATCACAAATACCTGCTCAGACAGAATAACACAAAACACATTCCCAAACTCCAGAACACACCACACACAAATGCTTGCACATTCAAACCACACATGCAAGTTGAAAACACATGGGATGGGAGGCAGACAGAATGTGATAGCATATGATGACATCACACAACACCCAGCTGTGGGCACTTGCGTCTATGTGGATGACTGCATCGTAGCTGTGCCGCACATGGAATGGGGCACCGTTGAAACGGTCGAACTCTTGGATCCAGAATCTCAGCTCTTTGATGGCGGGTGGGGGGAGGAGGACCATGCTGCTCCATGTCGACGCCTCGTTGATTGTTTCTAGCATGGCATGGCTGAACGCTCGGGCACGGGGCGGCATGAACTCGAACGTCCCCGGTGAAGAGTGATAAGGCGCAAAGGTAGGCGCTTGATTGTGTCGCCCGAACGATGAGTTGTCGAGGCTCATCGGCGCTAATCCCATGTTTCCTCCGTTGCTCTGTATTGAATGCGCAGGTGTTCTTGTCTGCTGCTGCTGGTCGAAGTGTAACATGAAGCTGAAGAACCTTTCCATAAGGTTCGGGTCCACGCTTGAAGAGGGTGATGGGGTCACCATTTCTGGTGCTCTTCCAGTTGTTTCTTGAGCGGCGCCGTTCTCGGTCTGCAGTCCTGAAGTGTGCAGTCCAGAGTTGCCGGGTTGAGTGTCTTGGCCACTGGGTGAGCCCGTAGAAATCTTCTTGCCCTTGTTGTCCATGACTTGTAATTAATGAAGTTGTTGGTGTGCTAACTGTAGATAGAGTGTAGTTGCTTGGAGTTTGGTCTCTGACCAGCTCTCATACCATGTTGGGCTGAGAAAAAACCCTTAGGATCTTTCAGAGACTAAGTCCCAGTTGTAAAAGATACTTGAGTAGTGCAGCGGAAGTTTGAGAAGTTGAACCCTTGCACTAGTATGTGAGAGCAAGTGATTGATTAAAAGGAACAAGCATACAGTAATATATAGAAAATAGGAAAAATGAAGCAGTTGTAGAATACAGTTGAAGGAACGGTTATCGAGTCGCACAGCGACTCGATGGTCGATTCGGTTACCACCCTTGCAGTTGTAACGGCCAATCGCAACCTCCGGTTGCGACCCTTCGAGTCTTTCGTCCTTTCGTATTCTTTCGTCCAACCTCCTTGTGTAACCTCCGTTGACCCGCATACTCGATACGGCTTCACTCAAGTGTGATGTTACACTTCAGAAACGCTTAAGTCCTTGAGAAATTTCCAACAAGTATAATACAGGTGTAACATACTAGTACAAGTATGATATATTGATACTAGGAAGATCAAGAAGGAATCTATGGCCCTTTGGATGATTTCCTGTGTGTAATCAATTGTGAAGCTTGAACCGGGGATGCACATCATTCTTTGTGTTTCCTTGCAAGGGTAGAAATTGTCGGCCCAAGAAACGGCATGGTCAACGAGACGTTGACTTGATTTCTTCGTCCTGTTGACTCGACGTTCGTCCTGCCGATGTGGCTTCCGCTCCTTGGGTCATTTCTTGACGACTGAGTCATCGCGCGTCGCGAGGTGCTTCATGAGGTGGGAACCCTTCGCGACGCGATGGGGTACAAAATGCGGCAAACCCATTCGGCAATTCATTCCACACACATTCCTTCAGCCTGAAGATAGGAAAACAGGAGACGACCATTCCGATCAGATACACGGAATTGTTCGTAGAACCCTCTGCGGCAGCTAATCTTATTCCCCAAGCGATTTCTGTTGTAACATCCGCTGGTGACAAGCGCAATGACGCAGAGAGTGTCGCTCTCGCCGAGCCAGCATCCTCGCCACAATCTGAGCACCTGCCTTCTCCTCCTCTCCCTCCTCGTCTTCTCGTCTCTCCACGCCACGTTGGCCTTTCGCTCCTCCGCGGGGCTCCGCGTGGACAAGCTGCGCGGAATGATGCGCGGAAAGACGCAAGGCGGACGCTCGACCGGACAGCAGCAGCAGCAGGGCGGCGGAATTGGCGGAGGAGGTATGGACGGCGGCGGAATGGGCCGGGGGGGAATGGGTGGCGGCGGAACGGGTGGCGGCGGAATGGGTGGCGGAGGAATGGTTGGCGACGGAATGGGCGGCGGCAGAATGGGCGGCGGCGGATTGGGTGGCGGCGGAATGGGCGGCGGTGGAATGGGCGGCGGCGGAATGGGCGGGGGCGGAATGGGAGGCGGCGGAATGGGCAGCAGCGCAACAGGCGGCGGCGGAATGGGCGGAGGTGGAATGGGCGGTGGGGGAATGGGCGGAGGCATGGGTGGTGGAACGGGAGGGCGTGGCTCAGGGTCTTCTGCTCCAGGGTCGCAGGCAGCACCCGGCGGAATCAGCAGCGGCAGAATGGGTGGTGGAGGAATGGGCGGCGGCGGAATGGGCGGCGGCGGATTGGGTGGCGGCGGAAGGAGCGGCGGCGGAATGGGCGGCGGCGGAATGGGCGGGGGCGGAATGGGAGGCGGCGGAATGGGCGGAGGCGGAATGGGCGGAGGCGGAATTAGCGGCGGCGGAATGGGCGGCGGCGGAACGAGCGGCGGCGGGATGGGCGGCGGCGGAATGGGCGGGGGCGGAATGGGTGGCGGCGGAACGGGCGGCGGCGGGATGGGCGGCGGCGGAATGGGCGGGGGCGGAATGGGCGGGGGCGGAGTGGGCGGCGGCGGGATGGGCGGCGGCGGAATGGGCGGAGGTGGTATGGGCGGCAGCGGGATGGGCGGCGGCGGGATGGGCGGCAGCGGGATGGGCGGCGGCGGAATGGACGGAGGAGGTATGGGCGGCGGCGGGATGGGCGGAGGCGGAATGGGCGGAGGAGGAATGGGCGGTGGGGGAATGGGCGGAGGCGGAATTGGCGGAGGTGAAATGGGCGGTGGGGGAATGGGCGGAGGCATGGGTGGTGGAACGGGAGGGCGTGGCTCAGGGTCTTCTGCTCCAGGGTCGCAGGCAGCACCCGGCGGAATCAGCAGCGGCAGAATGGGTGGTGGAGGAATGGGCGGCGGCGGAATGGGCGGCGGCGGATTGGGTGGCGGCGGAATGAGCGGCGGCCGAATGGGCGGCGGCGGAATGGGCGGGGGCGGAATGGGAGGCGGCGGAATGGGCGGAGGCGGAATGGGCGGAGGCGGAATTAGCGGCGGCGGAACGAGCGGCGGCGGAACGAGCGGCGGCGGGATGGGCGGCGGCGGAATGGGCGGGGGCGGAATGGGTGGCGGCGGAACGGGCGGCGGCGGGATGGGCGGCGGCGGAATGGGCGGGGGCGGAATGGGTGGCGGCGGAACGGGCGGCGGCGGGATGGTCGGCGGCGGAATGGGCGGAGGCGGTATGGGCGGCAGCGGGATGGGCGGCGGCGGGATGCGCGGCGGCGGGATGGGCGGCAGTGGGATGGGCGGCGGCGGAATGGGCGGAGGAGGTATGGGCAGCGGCGGGATGGGCGGAGGCGGAATTGGCGGAGTTGGAATGGGTGGTGGGGGAATGGGCGGAGGCGGAATTGGCGGAGGTGGAATGGGCGGTGGGGGAATGGGCGGAGGCATGGGTGGTGGAACAGGAAGGCGTGGCTCAGGGTCGTCTGCTCCAGGGTCGCAGGCAGCACCCGGCGGAATCAGCAGCGGCAGAATGGGTGGTGGAGGAATGGGCGGCGGAGGGATGGGCGTCGGAGGGATGGGCGGTGGAGGATTGGGCGGCGGAGGGATGGGCGGTGGAGGTATGGGCCGTGGAAGGATGGGCGGCGGGGGAATGGGCGGAGGGATGGGCGATGGCGGAATGGGCGGCAGAGGTATGGATGGCTCCGGCTCGTTTGCTCCAGGGTCGCTGGCAGCACCCGGACTGGGCGGATCTGGGATAGGCAGCGGGATTGGAGGAGGCATGGGCGGACCTGGTGGGAGCATGGGCGGACCTGGGGGCAGCATGGGCGCACCTGGGGGCAGCATGGGCGGACCTGGGGGCAGCATGGGTGGACCTGGGGGCAGCATGGGCGGACCTGGGGCAGCATGGGCGGACCTGGGGGCAGCATGGGCGGACCTGGGTCATCTGCTCCCGGATCAGAAGGAGCCATGAGTCATGGGGGGAGCATGGGCGGAGGCATGGATGGGGGTATGGGAGGAGGCATGGATGGGGGTATGGGCGGAGGCATGGATGGGGGTATGGGCGGAGGCATGGATGGGGGTATGGGCGGAGGCATGGGGCGTTGAAGGGACAAATGGAAGAAAAAATTGCAAAGTGGACTGATGCTCGCGACTTCTTTGGAGATTAGGCAACGGTTGCAGGGGCCTCAGTCGCTTTGCGGGGCTCACAATCACTGCCAGAACTTGGCCGCAGCAGCCCTGACAGTGACAGGCGCACGGAACTGTCTGTCGGTGCTGCTTCGTCCAAGATCTTGACAGTCGGTGCAGTGCAGCCACTTGTGTAGTCACATCGCCTTTCATAAGATCTAGTCTTTGAACAAATGTGATACCTCTCTGTGTTTTGGAAAATGTGCGCTTTTTATCCCCTCTCTTCCCGCTGAAGCAGAAGGATGCTAGCTGTTATGTAACATCATGAGAGAAAAACGATAAGGTACATTATGTTATGTCATTATTTCACAATACAGCTACCTCTGCAATTCAAAGCATTGCACCGTGAGGTAACTAAACTTTGTTGTATCCATTGTCACTTGAGTCGCTAGAGCCACTAGAGTCACAACACAAGACTGCTACCTACAATCCAAAGACCTGATCAAGACCGGTACCCGATGCATTGTGGTACATGGTACCTGGTACCACTATGGCACAATGCCATGACATGGCACAATGTTCCAACTGTGTCATATGACAAAGAGGATGAGGTTAGGGCAGTAGGTCATAGAAGCATCATCTCACCGAGGTCATTTCTTCGTCCCTGGTACGACGCTGTGAACACATCCTTTGCTACCACACCCTGCAGGGACATGGGCGATGAGAGTTGGGAAGGGAGGAGATGGGAGATGAGAGATGGGAGATGGGAGACGGCAGATGATGCCGGGGGACACAGACGGGACGCTGCTAGAGAGCTCTGCTATGTGAGGGTCAACCAAGGAAAGAGGGGGCGGGAAATGGGGGTGAGAGGGGGGAAATGCGGAGCCCCAGCAGACATCTGAAGAGAAATGAAGAAAGCAGAGAGTATGCCATGCATGCATACATTCGTGTGGGCGTGAATGAATGTGAAGATGCATGCCGGAATACGGAAATAAACTGCATGCATCTTCACATTCATACGGAATGCATGCCAACAGTCAGACTCTCAACACACCAGATTGGCAAAGACGTTGTGTTGGCAGGCATGCACAGCATGGTAGCATGGCGGGCTTTGCTAGTCAACATAAGTTACCATGCATGCACTAAGCCTCTGTTCATGTTACCCTAACCTCACTGTCACTCTCTCTATCTGTGCTCTGTCTGGCAACATTAACAGCTCTGCAAGCATGAAAGTCACAACAGACGTGTTATGTGCAGTCTTGTCTGTCTGTTGCTGCCAGACATAGCACATCTTACTATCTCTGCTGACGTCACCCTGACCATCGCTGGGGTGACACCAACTTCAGTGTCGATCTCAGCTGATGTCAGGCTGATAGACATCCCTCCCAGGACGTCCACTATCTCCATCAGCAGCCCCAGCCAGTCCGCTGCCACCACCCTAAACTCGTTGCCGTGCTATCTGGCAAAATTGGAAAAGGTGTGAGGGACAGGCGTGTGGCAACGCCTGTTGCGGGATGAGCGGCTGCAGGATCAGACATTGAGGGACATACAAGACCCTGTCCTGGCATGGCCTATCTAGGAGAGGAGAGCGTCGGCAGTTTCACGGTTGGTACCACGTCCACCATCGCCATCAGCAGCCCTGGCCTATCTGCTGCCTACTTTCACCCTCCGCTCACAACCGGGGTTGTCTGCTAGAGGTGTGACTGACATGCGTGTGGCAACTCCTGGTTGCAATGCGGGGGAGGAGCATGCACGCGTGGAGTGAGGCGAGGGATAGGATGCAGATCCACTGTCTCTGTCAGCACCCCTAGCCATGGGATGTGCAGCGAGGGAAAGAGGGGGAAGGGGGGGGAGACACGAGTGAAGAGGAAACGAGTGTTGATCGATACGGTGGCAAAACATCCAGTATTGATCAGCCGGCCACTCGCACCATCAGGTCACTGCCCGTGGGGTCTGGGAGACAATTCGATTATGGGGCGTGCCCTTCGATTGCTGGCTGCAGGGTGGGATGGGGACGGAGAGACGAGAATGGGGGAAGAGGAGCAGGCCTCGCACACCCAGCAGGCATGGGCGTGGTGTGGTGTGACCCCAGGCAGGCTGGCTGGCAATTCTGCCAGCCTGTATCTTTGGTGTGGGGGGGAAGGGGGGGGGAGAGGTGAGGATTTACAGCCAAGGTTGGAACTTGGTCGGCTAAGTGACTAAGCGCATCTGCAGCCCACGTGAGCAGAGATTCCAAGGGCGGGGAGCGAAGTACTCGGCAGGCGGGCACAGCCTCACGATGTAGCTGAATCTGTGAGTTGTGGAAAAGAAGGTGCATCGGTAGAATAGCACACCTGTGCACCTTCCCACTGATGACACTGATGCATTTGCCCACACCCGTGCGTACCCTCTCGCCATTCCCCGCCTCCCTCCCGCCATTCCCCGCCACCCTCCCGCCATTCCCCGCCACCCTCCCGCCATTCCCCCCACCCTCCTGCCATTCCCCACCACCCTCCCGCCATTCCCCAACACCCTCCCACCATTTCCGAACCTCCCCTTCTGGCAATGCAAGGAGGCGGGTCACATGTGAGCCCCATCATACATCCACACGACTCCACCGAGCCCCAACATTGGCCCACCCACCATCCACCCCATTCATCATCACCCTCCCCCACCACCCACCACCCACCACCCACTCCGTTCCCCACCACCCACTTCGTTTCCCACCACCCACCACCCAGCCCTTTCCCTACCACCCCCCCCCCCCCCCCCCCAACATGCCTCTCGCTCACAGTGAGTGGCGGCGACATGCGTGTGAGGCCTATTGCCAGCTGCGCGCCGAATTTATGAGAGTGAGAGAATGAGGGGGAGGGGGGGAGGAACGAGGAAGGAGGAAGGCGGAAGGGGGAAGGGGGATGCGGAGGAGGGAAAAGGGGGAAGGGAGTTGGAACTTAGAAAAAGGGGATGAGGGATGGCGCTGCATTGACAAGGTAACCCCTTCTTCCAAGGCGCCTCAAAAAGGCCAACAGGGAGGAAAGGAGCCCGAGGATGGGGAAGCGGATGGGGGATGGGGAAACGGATGGGGGATGGGGAAACAGATGGGGGATGGTCCTGCATTGATACAAGAATGCAAGGACGAGAAGGGGGATGTGCGTGCCATCCACCACCAGGTAATCTCGGATGAGCAAAGGGGGACGAGGTAGTGGGGTGGGCCTGGTGGATGGAATGGGAGAGCAGAATAGAGGGATATGTAGAGGGGGAAGCAGAATGAAGGGGTAAGGGAGGGGGGGCAGTTGAATTGAAGGGTAAGGAAAGGGGGGAGCAGAAAAATGGGGTAAGGGAAGGGGGGAGAAGAATAGAGGGGCACGGGAAGGGGGAAGCGGTATAGCGGGGTAACGGAGGGAAGGACAGAATAGAAGGGTAAAGGAGGAGGGGACGGAGTAGAGGGATACAGGTCGAGGGAAGCGGGTGGAGAGAGGAGACAAAGGGGGAGGCGCGAGAGAGAGATTGAGTGTGCCTTGTTGACATAGGTGTCTGTAACTCCAGCTTCCCCGCGCGATGAGCAGGGCATGTGGCGGAGGAGGAGCACGGCAAGCGGCGGAGCTCAAGCCAGACCCTGCCATGCTAGCCTCCATTCGACTAGCCGGATACATTGTCACTGGGTCAAGTCACAAGCTCGTCTTATCCTGAGCTCTAGCTTCGAACAACCTTTGCATCTCGTCACGTCATCCTGCCGTCCATTTATCAAAACAAGTCGCGGATCGGGATCTTCTCTAGGTTCGTCCGTGTGCTGGGACAGTGCCTAAGGGCGTGTAGCCTAAGGTTTTGAACGAAGTTCGGACGAAGTTCACCGCACTGTACCGCGCGATTGTCTAACCGAATAAACTCACAGTACCCCCCACTTCCGTTCGAACACCCCTTATTTCGAAACCGTATGTTACACACCCTAAGAGCGTGTCCAACGTGCAGTTGTGTCATCCACTGGCATCCGACGACATAATGAATCCTAGCCGTTGTCATTCGTCCGTACAGGAAACAACGGACGAGACTCGTTCTGTCATACGCCATCATCCGCTGTCAGAACACTTTGGACACGTTCTATGCAGTGCCTGCGGATTCTAGAAGGGATGCCATAAGCAGGAGTTTTGCCACAAACAGATCCTTCACACTCGAAGAAAACAAAGCATGTGGAAGTTTGTACAGTGGTGGAAGCAATTGTCCGTATGTTTTGCATTAATTTGGGTTTTGGCTTTAAGACCACTATACATTAAGCCTTAATGTTTAATGGTGGTACGATTTGGGAGGGGCACATAGTGGATGTGCTCACAACACAAATATCCAAAATAGTACATTAGATCTAACTCATATCCCAAAAGATATACAAAGGGTATATCCGGACATATAGTTCCAAGCAGAGAGAGCAAACTTCATAAGTGTGTTTCTAGTTCCTAGCCCACCGACCTTTGGCCTTGATCACTGTTCGCACCCTCCTAGGCAAGCTGCTGATGAGGCTAGAGCAAACCCCAGCATGAATCTTCTCCCATTCTTCCTGGACCAGGTCTTAAAGCTCCAGCATTCTAGAGGAAGGCCTTTTATTCTTGGCTAGCTCTCTTTTCAGGTAAGCCCAAAGGTTGAGATTTGATGAGAAAGAAGGCCACTCCAGGGCTATATACTCATGTTCTCCAAGTCATTCCTGCACTAGGCATCACAAATTCTTCGGGTCATTGTCCGCACCAAGATGACCTCAAAGGGGAAAATGCTATAGAAATGGAGGGTCAATTCGAGTTTGTCATGCAAAAGGCCCTCATACAGTCCTTCAATCTTGCATATGAACGCCACCCCTGCACATGTCACACATCCCCACACCATCACCAATCCTTGTCTCCATGGATTACCGTCTGTTTGATTTGGTGGTGCTGCAGGGTTGTGCCTTCACGAATCCAGGCAAACGCGCGGCCATTGGAGCAGAAGCAGTTGATATTGGTCCCATTTGACCTGATCACATGCTTTCGAACACAAATTGTCCACTCAGCATGCGACTCCACGAATTACAGCCGACCCCTGATATTTTTCCAGAACAGTCATGGCTTCTACGATTGCTGCACCGTGATTAGACCAGCGGACCCTAGTGTGTTTTTAATGGTGCAAGGGTGCACAGTCAACCGTGCAACGTTATCCTCAGTTTTGCGGTGTCTACGCCAGATTTGGCCGCTCTATTCGTGATTTTACCCTACAATGGTATGACGAAGATGATCCGTGCTTAGATGGGCCCGACCGGCTAATTGCATCTTTGGCCACACCTCAGCATCGCTAGTCTCAAAGATACCATTCAATCCAAAATCGTCCACAATACTCTTGCCTACACCCTTT